GATTACAAAATGTTCCGTCGATGCTTCATTAACAATATAGGATGTTAAAAAAAAATTGTTTTTTTGTTTGTCCAAGTGATAACTTTTTACTTCCAGTTTTTTCATGGTGGTCTAGCTTCTAATGACTCATGATCTCAACCACTGAAATTATTATAACAACTCATTAATAATGTGTCTCAGTTTCCAAATTGTTATCCATATTACAATATCTTATTGGTGAAATAATCAAAATTGGTAAGATAAGTAAATTTCCAGTATATTTTTATATTGGTTAAAAATACGCTAAAACATGTTTACTTTTCAAATATCAGTACCAAAGTTGGACCTGATAGTTTCAAATTGAGCATTGGGTAGATAATCCTTCTGAAGAAGTGGATTACATTAAGTCACGAAACGTCGTCAGAAATACAATTTTTCTACTTTTTGGGACATAGCAAAACATATATTTATCATCATTACTTTCGTTATATTATACAGAAGGTTAAGTAATAAAAATCTATTAAGTTTTAATTAATAGTTGAATAACTTATTACTCATTAGCTCAAACTATCACCTATCTTTTTATCAATGGATTAGAGCATTTCAATTAATTCTCAATAGAAACATATTGATTACTACCAACAGTATTTTAAATTTGATCCAGAGGTCTATTAATGACTGACTGATTACAGTAGGATGGAAGAAGACATGTCATCAGTTCACTAAGTTATTAACCACTTGACTGAGTTGTCAGAAAGTTCAGATTTCTTGGCTGGGGTTCATGCGAGAATCATAATTAGTAATCGAAGATCTCAGGTAACATCTCTTGATACACCAATATTCACTTTTTGCCTTCCTTTAGATCCTGTTTCAACAATACTTCATACGTCACGTTCCTCGGTTCTCCAACTCCTGTGAATTTTATCGAGTCAGCTTTCTTCGTCTTTGGGGTAATCTAGGAACTTTGACGGATGTATATTTGTTTTAAATGCTTAGTTGATCATGGATACCTGACTAAACTCATTAATCAAATGAGGGAAGTATTACGCGAAGTTAAAGCACAAGTGTAATTTAGATGAACCAAGCCAAATTAAAATACATTATATGTAACGTCTAAGGTAGTCATGCTTTAAATAAGAAACTATCATTTTACAACAACCATTGGTAAAGTTGAAATCAGAGCTGAAAAATTTACAGCTAGACTGAGAGTACTTAGTAAACCCAGAAAAAACTTATCACATGACATTTGCTATTACAATTCATTCATAACATGTAGTGTTATCTCCTCAAAAATTAAAAATCAGTAGATCGTACGAATCTTTAGAACGGTTACATTCCGTAAGATTGATTTCACCGTGCTATTTAGATCAAACAGACGTTTTGTATAAGCGTGAAATAAATACTATTTAAGTGACAAATTCAAATCAATCATGATAGTTATTATGATTCGAATATTAATGACAAACAAGTTTTAATAAAGAAATTAATCGGATGACCTTATCTAGAAAATCAGTGAGGACCACGAATCAACGGATTAGTTGTTACATCCAAGAACGGATTTTCACAACAGTGCATACTCATGACACAACCATAGACCAAACACGTGAATTCAAGGGTGCACATTATCGGTCTCAGTTAAATCGAGGAGTTAGTTAGTGATGAGATAGTGACAGTGTACTGCTGTCCTTAATACATATTTCAAGAGTACTTTTATACTTTATTTAAGATGTTAAACTGAAAATATTTTTGTCTATTAAATACATTTATCATGGGCCTTACCTACAAATGCCATAGATTTATTTGCTTACTATGGTTACAATGTTATCTTTGTTTCTCAACTTTTATTTTGTCTTCTAGCATGTTTGTTAGAATTCAAATACATTCGATTGTCTCCACTTGTGTTCTCGTTCACTATAATACTAATAAAAATTCAAATATGCAATGGATGAGAAAACAACATGTATGATTGTAATACACAAAAGAAATAAGCAGACGTAAAATCTTTCATCTCAAGAGAAGTGATAGTAAGCAGTTTAAGTTTTGTAGTGCCTAGTATTGGGAGTTATTAACAACAATTCAGATAGTGAATGACTATATAAGGTAACATGGCAGTGATGATTTTCATAGTTTTTGTGTAGTCTCGGCATACTAACTCACTGAAGAATATGATGCACGAAGTCAAACCTTGGCACCAGTACAACACATTGATCAAACGAAATCAAAATCTAACGGCATTATTATTGACTTTATTCAATATTATATTTTTGGTACAATATAGAATTCTCAGCACAAGATATTTCAACAAGTTTCGTTTACAAAAAAGGGGAAAAAATGAAAGGAACTGATAAGTGCATACATATATACATAAGTTAAGTAGATAAACTACTTGGAATGTTTTCTTTTAAAGAAGATTTGAATCTGTACAACTTTTTTATATAATTAGAAACATGTTTAAGAATATAATTTATTGATAGGTCAACTCTAACAACCTATTCGTCGCATAGTATATTTACTAGATAAGTTGTTGTAGAGCTTTTATACCTTTGCTTGAGTACATAGATTCTAAAGCACTGACGTCACGTTCTACCAGAGGATATACAAGGAGAAAGATATGGATGAAGTGGATGGTTAGAATCTGATAAGATAGCTAACTATCCACCTTAATGTTTCTGATAAACTTCTAACAAATGGAAATTAGGCACACTCGATCCCAAATCCATAATGCTATGAAACAACAAATATTTAACTAATCATAAACAGTTTTATAAAATATCCAATACTCTTCTACCTGGAAAACAATACTGTACTACTCAAATTGCTTAAAACTGGGTATCAATATATGTAGTGAAAACAAGTAGTGCAATATAGATTAGTCTGACCGTTCCACCCAATCGACTGAATGACATATGATGCATGCACGCACATACACTAATTCCGCTTTGCATTTTCATGGGTAAAATTTGTTGATCAATAATTATGTAGAGCAGATACTATTTTCCATGTGAGATGAATAAGATATTCAAAGCGTATACACAAACACAGAACACGACCAATATAAAGCAATCATAAACCATACATTCCGGAGCCAAATAATGTACTAATTAAGCATTGTTATTTAAATTTCGAATTTCACTAACGCTGACTAGAAGGGGGGAGACCGTTCAAACTCAATGATGAATATGAAGGGGAAAGTGTATAACCCAAAAAATCTTACCTATAAAATTTTTAACATTTAGAGTAAGCTTAATAAAACCTATAGACTCATAGAATTACATAATGCTATTGAGCCATAGTGAACAGTAATGTTTTTTTGGAAATTAAGTGTCATAAATATTGTTGGTACAAACAAGATCAGTTTTAAGCTTCTCAAAATTAATTTGAACGTAGAAACTTTAGGTTAAACTAGTTATCTTATGGTTATGATAAGATCTTGCATTCTTCTTATAAACGAAACCAGAAATTGTAATAATCATAAATGTGTATAATTTATTTTTACTTGAACACATAAATATTGGTATAAAGGGGCACCGAATACAGATGCGCAACACAAGTCACTCGATTTGTGTGTGGGCTGTGATACTGCTTGGGTGCCCAGGTCGGAGTAGGTGGCTTTCCCAGGGGGTCACACCCCGAGACTTCAACCTAAAGGTCTAATACACAAGACAGTGGAGCAACGTAAGGAGATGCAGTCCTATGGTGACCGGTGACCAACAATTGGTTCATACACTATTCGTTCCTCCAGGATACTGGAACCAGCCCATATGCACCATCGGTTTGGAATAAGGGTTTTCTAACTCCATTAGGTGGATCCCCCATATCCACCAGCCCGGTCAAAGCGCCGAGCATTCGCTTTTCGTTCTTTCAATTTCGTAAACAACGGCGATGCCGCGAGAAGGCATTGAGTAGAACTTCTCCGACAGTGGTTGTATACACGTGGCCATGTGAGAGCGTCTCGAGAGGAAGAGCTGACTCTCCCCACCCTCGGTCGTACCAGGGCATTTGGGGGCAAGTATGTGTCGAAGGTAATTACAACTGGAAGAACTGGAAGGAGTTGGAAAGGATTGCCCAGGACAGGGTTGGATGGAGAATGCTGGTGAGCGGCCTATGCTCCTTCACGAGGAGTAACAGGCGTAAGTAAGTAAGTAATGTGTCGAAGGTGGGATTCGAACCAACGCCCATATCGTGAACCAGAACACCCAGAAGAACACTTCTGGGTCTGGCGCCTTAGACCGTTAGGCCACTCCAATGTATAGTTTAAATATGTCCGCAAAAAGAAAGCTAATTTACAGTAAGAAATAAATTGTATATTTATTATTTACACACACAAGAAAGCTGGTAGAATTGAGGTAATAATTAAGTTTAATTAACTGTATTTATCATTAGAAGAAAAAGGAGAAAATAGAGAGACTGGAATCAGACATGAAGGGAATTCTTAAAATAGCAACAGGTATAATAGTGAAAAGTATAAGAAACAAAGTATTCAAAATATAATACAATTTTAGCTCACAAGGACAATAGAATATGTTATTCTAGTAGTGTATTAGTAAATCAATTGTACCTATTTCATATTAACTGAGGCGTACACAGAAAAAGTAGAGTATACATACTAATTTGCACAACACCTCCCTAAAGTTATTCATTAACTGGAATCAAACAACAGATGCAAAATAGAGTAGGGCTGTGCAGACAATACAGTGGACTGGAGACAAAAAGATTATAAAGCTTTAAAACATGAATAAAAACGTAGCAAACACAGAAAGATATTGAGAATAATATTCCAAAACACAGTACTGAGTCTATTAGATAGGGAGCCCTAATGAAATTAGAAAACATGTACACATTATACAGTCTGATAAAATTCTAAGTATAAAGATTAACGCACTAGAAAGGTTTAACTGAAATGAGAGTTGTGAAGTCGAATATACAACTAAGTATTAATAATAATTAGAACCTAAAAAATCTGGTCAAACAAAAAGGTAATCAGGTATTTGGACAAAAGAACATGTATGTATGTATTAGTGTTAAGGTAGTATGGATTGGGGCCTGTGTAAATTACGACTTAGTACTGAACGTACATCGCTCACAAACCTAAGAGCATCCAGTACTGGTAGCAAACATAGAAGGGCTGTATCACGTGAATCGGAAAACCACGACCGAATCGGAATAGCATTATCTGTAGGTATTAAAATAAAGATGGATAAGCATCAAAATAAGAGATAAAAATAAATTTACTAAATCGACTCATTCACTAGGTATTTGAGTATAAGCCACGCAAGGTGTAAGAATTAATGATACAACCCAGCTACCCAAACAGATGTGGGTAGAGCGGGGTACGAACTTGAGACTTAGTGAATGGAAGCCGAGCCATTTGACTACTACTACACGACAAAAAGAGACAATTACTAGTAAAAGTCCAATAACTCCAAGCAAATAAATAAACCAAAAGAATATTGATAAAACAGATGAGTTGTGACTAGGAGTTGGATCAAGGACCCACATTTCGTCCTGTTTGGGACTCATCAGATGGATGGACAGCATCCTATCGTTGATATTCACACTAGGATTTCATTACTAACAACAATTAATCTAAAATGAATAACTTGTGTCATCATGTTTGTATCGAGGCAATCCATACATGATGCACATACACCAACAAATACTGATCAAAATCCAGTCCTAAATATCAACAAGATAATTCAAACTATTCCTAATAATGATATAAGCATATTAATATTTCTCAACTGAAAAACAAACAAAGCAGTAGAAATATCAATTTTAGAAGAACGTATAGGTGTTAACAATGATATGTAACCAACCGTTATCATAACGTAGATTGAAGCTATAGTGGCATAGTTACTTTTGCCAACGAAATAACTTTATCCCTATATCCAAACAATACACCCTGAAGTTATTTATCAAATGACCGTATCAAATAAAGTGTTTGTAATGACACTCCCTTAATTCACTTCTGAGATTGACGGCACAGTGATAGATGACAACTAAATATACTTGGGAAGCTGAGTAAAAAACTTCAAAAGATATTTTAACTGATTTACCGTCGTAGCAACTCTGGTCAAAATATGTTGAGCATGTTTGACAGCTGAACATTATTATGCTCGATGATGCAAGTGTTTAAAGAAAGCTTCAACTAACAAGATGGTACAGTACATCAGAACTGAAGAACCATTTTCAAGCTTTTTTTACAAAGATGGATATATTTCTGTCGAGGAAGAGAGACCTGGTCATTTGAAAATATCTGGTATGTTGAAATGAAATTATTGAAGTTTATGTGTGCTTAGCAGTTTGTACTTACATTTCCAAAAGTATAAACCTAGGAGTATATATTTAGCTATAATTAGACCTTTGTCGCATTCGTTTTAAAAAGGGTAGGGATCCGATATAAATTGTCTGAAATATTTACTTTCGTCATACAGTGTAGATCTGTGAGAAACGCGTGAAAGACTACTAGCGAAAAACAGAGAGTATTTCATTTAAATGGTGTGTAAATTCATTGCAACTACGCCTGGAGCCCCTCTGAGGGCTACTGCTGGTCCCAGGCCCGGATAAAGGAGGAAGGTTGGGCATGGGGTTAGCGACCCCATCCCGTAGAAAACTAACTCGCCAAAAAACACTAACCCTTCACAAGGTGGTTGATAACACTCATGCAGTGATTGTTATTTGATATAAGAGTTGCTTTACTTTTGTTGGACAGAACTGTCTTCTGATACTGGATACAAATGAAAGTATCGTTGAGTCAATCGTCAACATACTGAAAGTTCTTTGAATAAACACAATGTGGGAGTGGGGGGCTTAATAACATCATTTTCATCGGTCTGTGATAATATACTCATTACATACATTGCGCTTAGCTTGCCATCAGCGACAGTGCGTATAGTAATTATTTCGCATTACTGAAGTTTATAACACTAACATGATAATGTATATGCATTGATTAGTTGAGATTAGTCATTGAATATAATCAGAAGAACCTTACTTCTAGAAGGTTGTATCATGGTGCAACGAGTTATATCTTTTCCTAGTAAAAATTAGGGTGAAATACATCAATATAAGCAATCTTTGTTATCACTGTCTCGTTGTTAATAGATGGACGAAACTCAACTACAGGTTATTTAACCGACTCTTCATATGTGGAAAATAAAAATTGTCTGACACGGACGTGAAGTCAGACTGCAAAAATTATCAAACGTTTAACAACGATTCAAATTTGAAAGGACCTTAAATTTCCTTCGAAAACAAGCTAGACAACAGATGAAGTTGAAATATAGTAATAAATTACACAAAATTACCAGGATATGATCGGTAGGCCCCTGGAGAATTGTCTAATATGAATACAGAAGCCATATCAGAGGTAATTAGGGAAAGATTCTTTGAATAGCTGCCATTATCATATGTACAATGCTAAAACAGTAGATAAACAAAAAAAAAACAAATAAGCGCTTTCTTAAGGTACCAAGACATTCAACAACATAGAAATGAGAGATTCAATTAGTTATAATCAACCGAGGACCTGGCATAAACGTGCTAAGGTCCAAATCACTAAACCACAAAAGTTAGCAAACGATTTACATTTATTAACACCGAAACATTATGGCTTTCAGTCTTACATCTATCTTAAAGATAGACATATGATCCTAGAGTAACTTATGAAACCGGATGACCAGAAATATTACATTTTTTGTCTTAATTAGAGTCTAAAATGCTTATTGTAAACTTTTTATGTGCCGAACGTAGACAATTCTTGAACGGTTGGTTTAATTTCATTCAATGGTAAAATGACACGTAGAAGCTTTGGTTTTCCTAGTAACATTGGGTTTTCATTAAATTGTTCTACAGTGCAGAAAACCTCTATGAGAAATATAGACATTTATTATCAGCAATTTAGATTCACAAATGACCTGAGAACTCGTAAGTACAGCAAACTGGTTGTTTTCTATTTAACTGGTACCTTTTTATTTTTATTTCTCATTAAACATAACTGAAGACAATAGGTCCACAGATATCGTATAGAATGGACTACGAAAGAAAGGTATTATGTTAGGGTGGTTAATTTATGTTAAAACGTTTATACTGGCTGAGTACAGGTCAAGTAAACACACACAAATTAACTTATCTGAGATGGATAAAAAGGTAACATAGAAATAACATAATCATAACGTGCCTACCAGATTCACACAAAATTAGATAAATCATACTCTCCAAGGTTGTTGCTTTCCTTTAGATTATAACTATTTAAACTTAAACCCAGCATTCCAATGCTCTAAACATTCCTAGTTGGCAACATAAGGCTATGTCGTTGGTTGTTCTCCTTCAACTGTTTTTTTTTAGAGTTCTTTGTTCAAAAACGAGGTGACTGGACAATAAATACAAGACGATTGTAACCCATTATAATCTTGTTTTGTAATCGACTATTGTGGAATGGGCAAGTCTAAGACAAAAAAGTGGTTTTGTTGATTAGGTTGGTGATTAGCACGAATGATCATCTTAAGAAAAATGGAAATCAGGAATACTACATGGTAACAATTTAATCTAACATCTAGAATATAAGCGATATTGTAGGAGAATGATGGAACTTGGCTGATTTCAACTCCACATGTGATCACACTTCACGCAAACTCTTCAGAGTTCGAAATGAGGGATACTATCCTAGATATCATATGGGATCGATCCTAATAATCTTTAGGACTGAGTTTTTATAGGATAGAAGTATAGATCCTCCACCGAGGAATAATTCGCCAAATAGATCAATATTTGCAACTTATATATCTGTTTGTACAATGTTGTCGATTTATAGATCTTGAAAGAGGAATTGATCCCACATCTTTTGATGGATATCAAGAAGAATAGAATTTATTTTAAATTTTACACTAATTGTATTACCAAACAAGCAATTATGGACGTAACGCTGAAATGGAAATAATTTCCTCAACAATAACCGACCTGTCTGTAAAATCGTCTCTGAAGAATATGGCGTCCATTGTCGAGCAACTCAGTTACTCCTGCTCCGTAAATTTCAAGACTAGCTGTATATATTACAAGTTCGTACCACTGGCTTATCTAAAGAGAATCATCAAAATTAGAACAGGCTATTAAATTCAGAATTCGTAAATATTACTTAAGTTTTAGTAGGGGGTAAGAATGTTCATAATAATTTAATCAATAAATTATGCGGCAAGTAACAGAACGACAAATCAATTGGAATTTAATCAGTTACATATCTAAACTTTTTACGATAAAAGTTGACGTGGTCAAAGTCAGGAGGAAATACACTGGGAACCTTTAAATTATCCATTGACAAAATCGATGACCACAAAAAATCCCTTAGTCATTACAATCGAAAGGTTTGTGAACTATCTGTCTTGTGGATTAAACATCTAAGCCAAAGGCTCGGGGAGTGGCCTCCTAAGGAAACCACTTGCTTCAGTCTAAGCACCCGAGCAGTATCACGACCCTCACACAAATTAATGATAACTACTGCTGGTCTCATTGTTACTGTGTGGAGCATATGTATTTGGTGCCCCTTATACCCATGTTTATGTGATCAAATAATAAGTAAAATAAATACAAAGAGAAGTAAGACCTGAAGCAAAAAAGAACCTGCATGGACAAATATCTTAATTAGGTGGGGACAAAGAAGAATTTGGGCTCAAAACCCGTGTTATACAGAATTCCGAGGACAATCTTGATCTTAATTCCACGTTTTGTGATTAATTGACCTACCTAAAGCTTCCGAAGTTATCAGTTTCGCCACACGCAGATAGCATGAAGACATGGAAAGTAAAACGAAATGTAGAGAATATTATAAGGTTTCAAACAGACCGATAATTAGTGAATGCTAATAAGTCCTGTCAAGAGCATTATGATCCCTACTAGTCAGTGATGTGAGGATAATTACATAATTATTCACCGTCGATCAAAAACCCACAACGGACCATAAAACACTTCAAAACAACTGGATTGTAAGTGGTTCTACAGTCGCACTCATAGGATACTTTGGGCAGGATACATGCCGTTTGACAATTTATGTCAAAGCGTTTACAATACTGAGTACAGTAACAGTTTGTCTAAGGCTCAAATATCGTAAATATAGAGGTAATTCTTTTCTGAAGTTTTAAGCAAACTTGACGGGAACTGTCTTCAGAATTTTCAGGCTTTCGGGTGGTACTTTATTCAGATAAAGCTGTTATCATATAGAAGGATCCGAGGTGGACTAATCACAGTTTTTTGGATTACTTATTAACCACATCGGTATTATCATAACCTTGCCTACTTGTCTACCAATATCAAAAACATATAAGGATGCCAAAAGTCGTAATGAGTCCCCTAATAATTAAAATACCCCATTTTCAAAGGTGACAGCAACTCCATCCTTAAACTTATCTAGGAGAACAGACCAAGTGAGACCTATGTTGATTGGACTAACATAAACATCTTAGTTGTCTAACTTTAATAACACGACTTAGTATACACATATACCAGGAAAAAATAGTTTGAGCATTAGTATCATAAATCACAGTATGACTCATAGAATTGTAATACCTTTAAGGATACTTAAACTAGGTATTTGGAAACTGATATAGACCTACTTACATGCATTTAGCTGATAAGTGAAGAAAATATACGTTAATTAGGATATAAATGCGTTACTTTGAAGCCTTTGAGAAAAACACAAAATCTGATATTAAAAAACTTACCACATTGAGGAAAAAATCAACATGTGGTCGTTTATGAACGGAGAAGCGAACGGGATGATGGTCAATAAAAACTTTGAGAACGAAATCTGGAGGTGTTCCTGGTCTGACCGTTGGCCGCATTATCCCATCGTGTACTGAATGAATCAGTGTCTCATCCAAATCTAATACCATAACTTTTCGTCTTAATGTACCTGAAGGAAAGAAATAAAGTTAGAACTTTTATACGTCCGAAATTATAAAACATTTTAATCGGTAATTTTATTTCTTGTCATTAACAACATACAGGGATCATCTTAAATATTCAGAAAATGATATAAGATGTAAGTCATTTATGGAGCTTTTAATCACACTACATGTAAACTAACGACGACACCATGCTGACCAGACTGAAGTCCATGTAGCAGGACCCATACCTGTAACATGATGGTTGGAAATGAGATACCGACCATTAAGCCACTACTCTATATTTTAATGAAATAATTGTACTATTTATTAGTGAACGATTTCTGATATCACATGGTAAGGTGATATTTACAGACACATAAACATTGGCACAAGAAGGCACCAAACAGATATGCAACACAAATAATTCGATATGTGTGACGACTGGGATACTGCCCAGGTGTTTGAACCGAAACAGGTGGTTTTCTCAGGGGGTCACACTCCGAAACTTCAACCTAAAGGTCTAATCCACAAGACAGTGGAGCAACGTAAGGAGATGTAGTTCCATGGTAACCGGTGACCAACAATTGGTTCATACACTATTCGTTCCTTCAGGATACTGGAGCCAATATGCACCATCGGTTCGGAATAAGGGTTTTCTAACTCCCCTAGGTGGATCCTCCATATCCACCAACCCGGTCAAAGCGCCGGACATTCGCTTTTCGTTCTTTCAATTTCGTAAACAACGGTGATACCGCAAGAAGGCAGTGAGTAGAACTTCTCTGACTGGTTGTATACACGTGGCCATGTGAAAGCATCTTGAGTGGAAGAGCTGACTCTTCCCACTAATGGAGGACCAGAGGAGCCCTATGCCTAACTCACATACGCAGATTCAGTCAGGAATTGAAGAAGGGTTTTGATTATTAATACAGTGGTCTTGAGTACTGTTAGAGGTATGAGGGCGGTTATCACTTCCCGGTCGCCCACATCGTGGAAGGGTTCTTCTGGAGGTACCTGAAAAGGAAATTGGATTAGGGGTGGTCTTAGTGACCTGAGAGCGTGACCGCAGTGCTCAAGGGACAACTGCTTGAGGTTAGTCACACACGACCTTTTACGAGTAATTTTTGTGTTAGCTCCGTACTTGTTGAGATCATACCGCCGGAGACGGATATCCATGGGATAAGGCGAGGTGTGCATTTTTAGGGTCGACCTTCTCTAAAGACACCCCTCTTTGTGGGAAGGCAGCATCGCTGTTATGCTGGTTGTCTGAAGGAAACACCCTACTGCCGTCACACCTCTGTACAGTCAGCAGTACGACTTCGCCTTCGGTTTGTTGCTTTTAGTCCTGCCGCTCTTCAACCGACCTGTCTGACATGGTAAAACCTTGAGGAGCGGTTGTTCCAGCCAGTATAGCTCGGTTGTTTCATCACGATAAGCAAGCCCGACCACCACGTCAAGGTAGCAACAACGGTCGGAACAGACGCAGATTGGGTGCTTTCGATGTTAAAGTGACATCTACACAACATCGAAATAAAAAGACCTTAACAAACTTGCTGTTTGAATGGTCTTAAAGGGATGAAACACCTATAAACTCATTGTTTACCTAGTGATATTACGAATGGTGAAAATAATGGATTATCCAGAAAACTAGAAGGGGCCTACCGCTCCCTAAAGTGCGCCATCTCCATACTTTACCAGTGAGTTAGCAAATCAAAGCAAACCGAGAATTCAGGTGTAAACATTTCTCGAAAACCTGTTTCTTCAGGTGAATAAGGTTTTAAGAGGCTGCCGAGAAGAGGTGGTCTAGTGGTCAGTGAATATAAGCACAGCCAACCTACTTAAATTCCGACAATATCGATTACTATTAATTGCTATACGTGCAGCGTCGTCTGTTATGCTATTATTACTGCTTCAACATCTTAACATCGAAACACGTGTAGAACGAGAGGAAACATGTCAGCACCAGTAAGCAGATGGAACCTGATCACTGACTAAAGTATTATGAACTCAGGTTTTAGCCGTACTTAACACTACTCGGAAACCCAGACCGTTACAGGTGAGAAAAAACTTACGGGAAGTGTAGGACTTCATATACTAAGCCATAACTATATAACTTCACACATATACTATGAAAATTCCTATTCGAAGCGCAAATGCATCTGTAGAGGTTGTTTTCTATAGTCTATCCTGAAAGGGCGTTCCAGTTATTGACCCCGGAGATTCGGTTTACTTGATCGTCGTTTCCGAACACTTTTATGATTGCTATGATGACCAGTCTTACATATAGAGATTTTTCCAGTCCTAATGTAAGCTTAGGAGAAATAACCAGTGCTCTAATCAATAGTGGTAGTTTGTGATAAAGAATTTTACTTTTCAAACACGAAGAAAATCATTGAAACCCTTAGGGAAAAATACAGTGTTCCCCTTAGTGGAATTTTCTCAAGTTCATTTGCACCAGATCACTTCACGTTGTGTTAAGTAATCTGAAAATCTCAAGTGTCCATGATACTTTATAATAATACAGACTACCACAACACAATACAAAACCCGAGGTATTGAACAGAAAACCTTCATAAACTTACACAACCGGTACTTAGATAAGGGAGATAAAGGAACAATATCATATTTCACACTTTGGTATTTTAATGCCTGTAAATAGGTCAGGGTGTGCAAATGAGAAGTCATACTGTTTTTAAGTGCCTTCTGAATATCAGGCAAATCATGCTCCACAAACTAGCTATCAAGAGTTTGAGGTATCCCTTGTAGAACACAGCATACGTTCTCATGTCTATTCATGAAAACGTTTCAAATCACCCGGCTAATAGGGGAGACAACAAACAAATATACGAGGGAAATCAAGTGTATCTGAAGTTGAAATTAATAACAAGACAACTCTGGGACCATCAGGAGAATTCTAAATCCTTAGTTTCAATGAATACGGGTCTGAACTGTCGTTTTAACTCAGCCAACCTCACGAGGCAGAGCACACGTTTTTGAACGCCAGGACTCATTGAACCCACTGCACGATGATGCTCTGATAGGTTCCACATTACAACCTTTAATATGAGCGGAGCCCGACGTCGTCATCACTGACCCAATGGAGATCTCACACTTGTAAAACAACCAATTCTTCATCGATCTTACAGTAGCGTCACTAACCTCGACATGGAAGTTTAATTACAACCTTTATCGTTAAACTTCCGTAGTCTCTGAAGATTGGCAAACTTCAACACGTTCTGAAAGACATTACCTTCAAAAGAACCTGGAAGACCGCTTTTCGAGAACTAGTTCTGTCAACTTTCCAACCATTTCACTTATTTTTTGTGCGTTACAACATCGTGTTGGATTTGTAATTTTTGTGGTGCTCCAAAACAGCTGCGTTATACCTACACGTACATATTTATGTTTTCTTCCTGTACATTTCATAAACCGCGAACAAAACGGTAAAATTCTAACCGTTTTTATCAGACAGTCATTTCATTTTTATTTATTTTTTCGGCCGACTCGAAAGAACGATAATAAGGGAGGAAAAAGGCGGTGATCTTGCGCCATATATTTGTATATTGATCTTTTTATACAATTTCAAGAGGCGAATCCGTATTTCAGAAGGGTGAAAGTTTGGCGTGTTATGGTCCATTTCTCCTAACTGAGCGCAGTTGCAAGTAACTTCAGATACTCAGTTTTTAACTATCAATTCACACCCGGTGCTGATCTTTCTTGTCTTAACGAGTATTATAGGTTAATAGCAAACGTTCAAGCATAAACCCTTATTCCCTGTGAAATCCAGAACTATTCCTCAATCTTACAAATGACCACCAAAGTAGTTTAATACTATTTCCAAACTATTAGTCAATCAAAGCCAGGCCACCATGGAAAAGCTGGAAGCAGTGGACTGTGGGACAATTTTGTGGATTAATTGGAGCTAGACATTAACACCGTCGGATGCCTGCCCAGTGGTCTACAGGTTAAGCGTTTGCGCGTGAGACTGAAGGTCCAGGGTTTGGATCTCGCGGGGCGGGATCGTGGACGAGCACTTCTGAGGGGTCTCATACTAGAATGAGACGGTCGTAAAGTGCTTCCAGATTTTCCGTGGTGGTCTTGCTTTAATTAACTCAATAATACATGTGATAGTTAAAAAGGAATAACTAGGGCAAATATAAGCTTTTTATATTTTCAGCTTTTTTATTACATCGGTTAACACTGTACTCTGAATCTACTCTGCAACCCGTTTCAATAATTTCACGTATAAAATTGTAGAGAATGACATGCTTTTTAAGATCACGAACTAGTCTACAGTGGAGGAAACTTAGAAACAGAGAAACATATGCTCTCTAGCGATTTGCTTCGTGAGAAAATCTGTGCTCTTAGTTGGAGGCTGAGACCGGTGGAGGTAGACCATATCAAGTAAGGGAAAGCTACTCAACTAAGTCAATGAAGTATGGTCGCATGCTGTCATGAGCTGACAGAAGTTAAATTCGTACATCAACTGAATCCTGACCAGTAGTTCAAAGTTTAAGCAGTACGTCGAGAGACGGAAGTTCCTTAGCTTGGCCCGTGATGACACCGTCGTAGATGTGCGTTGCTGTAAAGTTACGGACTATGGTAAATGTTTTTACCAGTGTTCCGAGATTTTCAAAGGCTGTTTGACTCAGGTTAGCTCGTGATATCAATAGAACTATTTTTTAATTTATATAACTGTTTGAACATGTGTCATACAGACTAACCTGTTCATAGAAGTTGACTCGAAAGAAACGCCGCTAAACATATGACTCATTTTTTGTTGTCTGAAAATTTCATAAAGTTTATTGGGCCAAAACAAATGGAACTAACGAATGATGCTCTTCTACCGACTAACTGGAAGATAAAAACGTTTCCATCATTGAGGACGAATTTGAAGACCGGGGCGTGACATTTTTAAATTCAGAAACTCAGTAATTGCATTGATTCTAACTCTTCATACGTGACTGCTAAAAGTTAGTTCTGGTTGTTGAGTGTATTGTGATCAACATGTCAAGTCCCAGTGGGTCAATGGTCACTATCTACCCCCTGTCTTACCATAAAGAATACTTTGTGAGTGTAGAAGTATCACGTGGAAGGTGTTGAGGATGTCACAGGTACTCAGTGTTTGACAACGCTTTTACCAGTAACACCTTCTAATATAATTCGTTCCCACCCAGAGAAATCAAAAGACAGAGTCGAGGAGATCGGGAGAGTGTATTTGGCGATAACCAATATATCGGAATTCTCTGATCTAATCTGGCTAGCGATTGCAGTTGATGTTGAGCACGGCGTTACCACACGTGATCTGGTGCGGATGCATGACCGAGCGCCTTCAGCTAGATGAGTCCACTAAAACATATGGTCAGTATCCAATGTCGGAAACTTAGAGCTATTTATTTTGGGGATTTATTTACCGCTACAGTGTGAATAAGGCGGAACGATATAGACAGATAGATTCGATAAAGTATTTTTTAACAGTTGAGACAGTCAAATGAAACAAAAAATTTATACCAGGTTTCGATTATCAAATTTTTTCAATAATAATTTGTGGTCACTAATAGTAAGCTCTTGAAAAGAGTGGTAAACAACGGCGGCACCGCGTACTCCGGGTTGTTTGAAAGTGGGGTCTGTAGTCCTTGATCTGTTATATTTGTGAGTATTGCCAGAAATTCGTTTGTGAATGACCATGTTATACAGTCACCCCTATTTAAAATCAGCTTCTTTCTGTCCGAGATACTTTTCGTAAACCAGCTTAGGTACTAAAACACAGTCAAATTCAAAGGAATTAATTCCTTTGGATTAATATTAATCCTTCAAATCATGTTGATTTCGGCTTGCTAATGTGTAAATTCAACATTTTTGAACATTTTAATACATGTGATCTCTCTCAACTAGACCCTTATGATGCTTATAAATTTACTTTGAGCCAAATCTTAAGATTTGTCGTTTTTCCGTACTATAACTTAGCTGTTTGAAAGATAGTAGTGTTATTCCTCGTTGAGTTAAGTTTACTGTTTTGATCGTCAATTACGCATCAAAACTACTGTCTCTCAGTTGAATTTATTTCAGTTAAATTAAACTCGTATTTATTGACTTTGCTTCTGTGCATTTATTGGATACTTGGGTGACTTTGACTTGATTTATTCAGTTAAGGTTTGAAATCTTTTTACATATCCATTTTTGTGTTACCATTTTTAGTTCAATTTTAAGATGGTCAGCTCTGCTCACAAATGTGAGCAGTCATATTGCTTATTCCCTGTGGAAGAAGGAATGCAATGTGATGTATAGGTTGACTAATATTTTAGCTAAAATCTGGGAGTTGGACGTTATCCCATCTGACTGGTCACAATTACTTATCGTCCCAATATATAAGAAGGGGTCGAAATCATCCTGTGATAACCTTAGAGGGATTAGTTTAACTGATATAGCATCTATAATACTAGCTCCAATAGTTATCGGACGCCTAACAAAGACTCGTGGACTGCACATACAAAAAAATCAGGCTGGCTTCAAACCTGATTGTGGCTGCATCGACCACATATTCACTATTCGTCAGATCTTGGGACACAAGCATGCTTATCGGCGTCCGATAATTATGGTCTTTCTTGACTTAGGAGCTCCATTCGATTCTGTAGATTGAGGTTCTGTGTCAGTGTCTGTCATTGAAAGGTGTACCTCAGATGTGCATAAAACTTGTAAGGGCTCTTTATTTCAGCACTACAAGTCGATTCAGAGCTTACAGATAACTGTCATCCGATCTTGCAACCTAATGTGGTGTCCGACAATGCTGTCCACTATCTCCATTTGCGTTGAATTTCACCATAGACCTATTGCTGGGAATAACATCCTCGTCGACTGAATTTTCAGGAATTAATCTCTTTGCAGGAGGCTCGCTTATCGGCTTAGACTACTCAGATGACATAGTTCTGTTTGATGAAGACGCTGATAAAATGCAGTCTCTTGGTAGCACTGAGCAACAACGCCAGGATATTTGGGATGCGTTTCTCCCCATGTAAATGCAAGTTGATTCTTCAGGACTGGCCTGAGTGAACACCTGAACTAAGGATTAGATGCGAACTATTTGAACGCGTCGACACGTCACTTATCTTGGAAGTCTGATCAACCCTAGTGTGTTGGTGTCTGACGAAATCTCTGCACGGATTCGAAAAGCTCATTTGGCTTCTGCCAACTGACGTCACCTATGGCGAAGGCAAGATATCCGTCTACCAATTAAGGGATCAGTGTATTGCGCAGCAGTTCGTTCTGTTCTACTTTACGGCTGCGAAACGTGACCATTAAGAGTAGAAGATACTCGTAAGCTACTAGTATTTGATCACATAGCTCGCATATGCTGGAATCACTGGATAAGTGATAGTGAGGTAAGATGTAGAGCATTAGGGAATAACAATAAATCAGTCAATGAGGTTGTAAATCTTCACCGACTGAGATGGTTGGACTACGTGGTACGATGCGCAATGCTGACCAGTGTTGGAGACGGTTGGAAGAAAGTCAAGGGCGGTCAAACCAAAACGTGTCATCAGTGCTAGAAGTCACTAACTTCTGGTCTGAACCATGTTTGTAGATGCAGAATACTTAGTTGGGGTTCGCTTGAATATCGTAACCAATGGTTGGAGAATGTGTGACATGGACCACAATGTCGTAGATGTATACACTCTGTTTTCCCTTAAACTATAAGGTTAAAATCGCTTCATATTTTCTGCGAACTAATTCTTTCTTACTATATTATATCCTTATATGCGATCTTTCTTTTATATATTACCAACATTAAATTAACCGGTTCTAGTTATATTTTTGCCAACTGAACTGTTT